GCGAAGGTACCTCAATCAGATTGAGGACGTTTTTAGCAAAGGCCAGCTTAGGAGTACCCTAATTAAGTTAATAACAATGTACCTACCTATATAGTTTAAGTTTAAAAAATTTGACTCTCAAAAGAAATTTCAATCGTTTTACTGTTGATATTTGGCTCTGTTGACTAATGAGTTTGCCGACCACTGCCCTTGCTGGTTTGACTCAGTGGATAGAGCATCAGCCTGCAGACTGAAGGGTCCTGGGTTTGATTCTGGTCAAGGCCATGTACCTGGGTTGCAGGCTCCTCCCTGGCCGGGGCCCTGGTCAGCGTGCATGCAGGAGCCAACCAATCGATGTGTTTCTCTCACTTCAATATTTCTCTGTCTTTCCCTCTCTCTTCCACTCTCTCTAAAATTCAATGGAAAAATATCCTCGGGTGAGGATTTAAAAATAATAATGAAAACTAATGATGATGACGAGAAGTAGCAGCAATACTAATCAAACTAACAATGATGGTCAGTGGAATATTGTAGCTGGTGTTCTAAGTGCTTTACATAAATTGCCTTATTTAATTCCCACGGCAATCCCTAAAATGAGTACTATAATGGTCTTCATTTTAGAGCTGAGAAAACGGAAGCATAGGGAAGTAAGTAACCTTAAGACCCCATGATCCGTGAGTGACAGAGCTATGATTCAAACTTGAGTCTGTCTGAAGAGCCTATGTGTTGCTTCCGATGATGTGTATTGCCCGCCCCTGGAACATTCATGCTAGTAAATGCTGCACATCCTGCAAGCCCAGGCTCACATGTTCTCTCCTCTATGGAGCCTTCTCTTCTCCCAGCCAGGAGTTCTGTCTTTCTCCTTCAAACTTTCAACAGAACTTTGACCTTCTTTTCAGATGCATTGATCACATTCTGCCTTGTATTATGAATTTGGTGTGTATGCAATCCTTGGTACATGTTTTATGTCTGCATTTTAAGTGTTTCAGATCAAGAATTGTATCACATTCATCTCTGTATCCCTCTCCAAACCAAGAATAGAGAGGACCTTATTAATAGCAGGCTCTCTTTCTCCACCTCTATCACCTGCCTGTCTATTCTTCCCATCTTTCTATGATCCATCCATCTATCTAGCTATCAGCTTGAAGGAAAAACACAGAAAAATAATTATATGTAAAATTCCTTTGTGGATTAAGTACATTAAAATGCAAGCTGTAATTCTTATAATGTCCTTAAACACTGAATGTAGAATTGAAAATTTTATATAATTTAGAATTTCTTTTTTAATTTCAGAGGTATTTCTTTTCTTTTTTTTTGTTTTGTTAATACTCACTCGAGGACACTTTTCCATTGATTTTTAGGGAGAGTGGGAGAGAGAGGGAAAGACAGAGAGAAACATCGACGTGAGAGAAACACATCAATGGTTGTCTCTTGCAGGAGCCCTGACCGGGGCATGGGACGGGGAGAAGCCTGCAACCAAAGTTCATGCCCTTGACTGGAATCAAACCCTGGACCCTTTGGTCCACAGGCTGACGCTCTACCCACTGAGCCAAACAAGCTAGGGCCAGAAATATTTCTTTATCGTTGGCAGGATTCCAGTTAGAATCTGGATCAGTTGGGCTAGGAAGAAGTTACATGATTTATGGTCTTATTTCTTCTTTGTTTTTTTTATGGTCTTGTTTCTAAAACCTGGTACATGATTTCTGTCTCCTGATTGAAAATATGTTTTCTTCTCTGCCTGCAGACATGAAGATCTCTTATCCATCCTCACTGCTGTCAATAATGATGTGAGTCGACGCGGTGGAACAAAGAAACAGATCCCTCAACCCTTTTTCACACTACGTAAAAAAGTCATATTCCCTGTGCCCCTGCGGGAACCTCCAGAGAGTTTTCACTGACTCTTAGACTTGAAAGGAACCTTCTCTTCCAACTTGCCACCCAGCGTAGGAATCAGTGACAGATGGTGAACTGGCCTTCGTCTGTCATTCTAGCAATAAGAAATGTTCTACTTTCTGACACAGTAAATACTGTGTCCCCCCCCCTCCCCTTTTAACAAATCTAAATGCTACAAAACTTTTTTCTTTTTAATTATTGATGCCTTGGGTTATAATCTTGGCTTTTGCTCTGCACCCTGAGAAAAAAGCAATTGGCTTTGGTTTGTGTAGCTGTGAAGGAAAAGGTGGAACGAGGGACATTTTAAGGTCCCTTTCGCTCTAGGAACCAATGTCCTTAGATTTCCCCTCTACTTGACCACTCCTTGTTATAAGGGACCACTCCTGTGTCCCCTCCCCATGGCCCTGTTTTGGACATTGACCAATGATGAGATCACAAGATCATGGTTTCCAACCCTCCCTCTGCTCTTGCCTTCCCAAAGCTTTCCTTCTGCACACCTCCTGAGGGGAACCTTTGGTTTACAGCCACGCCCGCCTCCTGCTTTCCTGTTCAGGAAGGTGTTGCTGCAGGAACTGGGCTGGCTCTAGGAAATGACAGCTGAGTGTACACAAGACACACGCTCAGCTACTCCGGGAGCAGAAACTTTACAACCTGATGCTACTTCCCTGTCGGTCAGAACCTTGCAGAGGCTGGTGACAGAACACTCAACGCAGACCGAGGAAAGCAAAGGACTTATTGCCTCTGCCACTTGAACACATGATGCATGGTGCTGACTTCCGGGGAGGCCTGAGTTGGGACTCTGCGGTATAGTGTGTGTCTCCCGGCT